TCTCTCTGCAGGTTTCCCTTTTTCTTACTCCCATTGAAAGTTTCAGATTTCATAAGTAAGCCTAGGAATTCTTCATATCATAAGGAGCACACACAAATGCTGGTGCCACCCCCTGTACTTTGTAGGTTGTATCTCAGGGGCCTGCAGTGTGAACACAATGGCGATAACAGAAAGTAGCAGAATGAGGTTTAAGTTGGTAAGAAAAGATTATGTTCTAGGAAAGAACAGTTACATATTGGTATTTAAAGGGGAGTAATTGCCATCAGAAAAATCACTGGAGTTTTACAGGCACTGACAAATAGTAATTTGATGAGCTGACGGCCTGTACTACAGCACTGTGGAACAGCCTGAGCGCTTTAGGAAGCTGAGCACTCCCCTCAAAATGACTGCATTCCTGTGGGAACTGGGATTGTGAAGCAGAAGAGAACATTACCATTTGATGGATGTAAAATTGCAACAAACCAGATGACTTATTTATAAACAACACTCATTACAAAATCAGTATGACATGTCTAAAACCTAACCTCTTCTATATTAGTCCTGTTACAGAATACAGCAACCTTCATGGTAAAGACCTAATCGTTTGGAGCAAATACTTCAGAGCTGCATCACATCTTATTGAAACTATTATTTTAAAAACACTTTTAACACTTTACTAAGGGCCATAAACCACCAGGCTCTGAAACAGGAAGTGCAATTATCTGAATACTGTTGCTTCCAATCAGTTAGCAATAAAAATATGTCAAGGCTATTAAAGTGATAAACACTATATAATTTCTTTTTTTTTTCCCTCACCAGGGAGCATTAAAAATAGATGACAAAAATGCAAAGCAGCCTTTAGACATTTCAGCAAATGATGATTCTACAGTGTTGGTAGCAAGAGCAATGCAAGCACACTTCAAACATTAGCTCTATCTTAAGTGCATTCTTCCAAACAACGTAAAATGACAACCAAATTAATTCTGTGTGCGAGCAGGTACAACTTCTGTTTGTTTGTGTTTTTTAAATCAAAGTTACTCTCTCACCATTGTAGGCACTAGCTTGGCACAGCACAGCTACATTTTCCTGCGAAGCTCAGCCGTTGGTAGCAGACAGCATTTCTGTGCAGTCCCACACAGCTGAATCTCTCCACTCAGTTATCTACAAATCTCAAGTAGATGAGAGAGCCTCGAGCTTTTGTATCAACTTAGGTATTCTTTCCTACTCTTCCATTCTCTTTGCCCATGCAACTTAGATTGCATCCTGCGCAACTGTAGAGGGACAAGAGCAAAAACCTTATTGTTCCTTTTTCCCAGTTAGCACCTAAGTTGTCCCCCCAGCTTCTTTTCCCTCTCCCTTTCAATTTCTTCTATAGTTTAACAGCTTTCAGCCTTCAAATCTTACTGTCAGGAAGTTACAGGCTTGCGCCCGTAATCCCAGGTGTATTTCCAAGCCATGTTCCTAAGAAGCTTTTGATGGAGGTGGGTGAAAGAGAAGAGGAAAAAAAAACCCACAGAGAAAGACACAAGAGACAACCTCAGGACACAGTTTCAGTGAACTTTGATTAATGCCTAGGGGAAGGTAGGTTGAACCGAAGTAATTATGTTTGCACAAAGCTTTATCACTTAATCTAGTAAACTTCATGCAGTTTCATACAGCAAAATACTTCAGAGTGTCTGTGTGCAATATCATTTCTGTTGCATTCTTTATGCATGTGACACCAGCCTCCTGGAGGGCCTATCACTGGATAACAGATTTTAGCGAAACATAAGGTTTTAGACTTACAACTTTAAGAAATGATTGTCAGAGTCTTCCATTTACAATGCACTCACCTTCAGATGGTGTCATATGGATAAGGGAGACAGCTCCTCTCAGGTGTGCAAAATACACCTTGACTAATGGCAAGGACACTTAGTACTTCCTCTTCCCAAAGGCTGTTATATTTTGGTGTGCATGGTGGTCAGAGTCCATTTAACTGACAAATCCACTTTTAAGGCTTCCTCTCCCAGTGGGATAATTTTCCAGGTCAATTTCTCTTTGTACGCAACACTGTCACCTTGGCTTTGACACCAAAGTTGATTAGACTTTCCACAGTGCATGCACTGTAGGCATTAAAGCATTTGGCATATCCTTCCTCATCAGTATACTTCACTAAAGGCAGCATCTTTCTCACACATCAGGCTATCTCAGATAGTTTTGTGAGGGAAAAAAGAGTATTGCTGAATTTAACTACTAGTATTTCGGACCATATGGCTCAGCATCCCAGCTTCCTTTGGCTCAGCTCTCGTTATGGATTGTTTTGGCAACTGGAATTAAGAACACAAGATACATTTGTAAGAAAGAAATCCAACAAGAGTACCAAATTCCCAGGGAGTAAAGGCAAAAAAAGAACACGCTTTTTAAAATTAATCAGAGATCAGATGGGGGAAGATATCCAAACCCAAGGCCATAATCTTCCCTTCAATTAAGAAATTATCCTGATTATCTCAACTTCTGGTACATTTGGCACTGTTTAGCAGCCTCCTCTTTTAGAGTTTTCTTGCTACTCCTGCTATCTTCTTTGAATGAGATTTAAGTAAACATACACTATCAGAAAAATTCTGTCATTTACTAAAGCTACATTCTCTGCTAAAGAGTTACTTTCATGCTACTACCAGTGAAGCCATTATGGGTGGCTTTCGCCATATGGTTATACTTATAAGGTGTGAAGATGTAGTCTGCAGAAGAGCAGCCTGGCTATCCTACTGCAGAACTGGGCAGGAGCATCCAGCAGACTTCTTTTTTTAACTTCAGTTCTGGTGGAGGTAACATGCCATGTGAGCTGAAACAATGATCTACTTTGGGTGCTCATTCTGCTCCCTTCAATTCTGTGCTTGAAAAGGAAACACAGGAATGACCTCCACAGTCATTAAAAAAAGCTCAAATATGTTTATTTTGGCACAATTTAAAAATATACAAATACATTCAATATCAGGGTTCATTAAAGCCAATTTTTTAAAATATATATATGTATTCATTATTATTTTGGAGGGAGATGGAAACCAAAACACCACATTATATATTTGACAGTGCAAATGAATGAGAAACTATTTAGACCAGGAATCCACTGTGTCAGATGGCAGTCACAAGAGTTCCTCAAACAAAAAAAATAGTAAAAATACCTGTTGCATTTAAAAGAGTTTGCTGGGGGCAGGGGAAGAATATGGGAAGGGGAAGAGATGTTGTTATCACTGAGAAAAACTTGACTGCACAAAAGTTAGAGCATTAGGTGCTTGACATTAAACTAAGTTACAATATGCACTTGAGGATAAGATAGGGTTCAGACAGTACGATGTGAATGATTCTTCAATAATTTATGTGTAGAAAGAATACATTAGCAACTAAGCAATACAAGAATGCACTATCATTGACAGATTTGCAAGCAGAAACTCCCTGCTTTCAAAGGTGCAGTTTCTTGGCGTTATTTGCATAGTTACTCCTTTTCCTTAGTGGTTAGGAAAATATTCAGCAACTAGGTTCAGGAAAAGTCTATGACCTCCAGACATAATTTCTACCTGTGGAAAAATCACAGCAGCACAAAGACAAAAAGACATCAAAATGACAGAAACAAAACTGCCACCTCCTGAACTTGGAACATACGAACTATAAAGCACATTTCATATTGAAAGCTGAAGGGTCTCAAAACAGCATTGTCTGCTGTCTTCAGTTTTGTCCAGTAGAACAAAAATGTTATTTCTCATTGTGACAGAAAGACAATCTTAACTTTCTCCATACAGCAATTCAGGCTTTTTTTTTTTGGCACGGAGGCCTCTTCATGATTTGTTCTTTATCCCCAGTCTTTGCCCTAGCTTGTTTGGATGCTACAAGAGATCTCCTTAGCTTGGAAGGAGAGAGATAAAAGTAAACACAACTGCACTGAAACTTACATAAAACCAGGTCTATTCAATAAGATATATTTATCTCCTCCTGTCCCAGTTCTCATCTTTCAGCTTTGAATAAGCTTTTAACCAGACAGAAAAGGGAATCTGGATTTAAGGTCTGGACTCTCCATATGGATGTCATGTCAGCTTAAGACAGTTATGTTCACATTTTCCTGAAAAAGAGAACCGACTGTTCCACTTTATGTTCATGCCAGTGGATGCTGATGAAGACCTTCCAAGTAATTATTTTAGGAGCATAGACCCATAACGGAGTGCCAGCTAAACCAAAACAGGCAACAGCAACACAGGTAGGTGGGAATGCACAAGCTGCATAGTTATAGTTTCACATATGGTGACAGTGACACTTCAACCAATTTAGCAACCTCAGGTTTTTCACTTATTTCCCAGTCACCCACTCTCGTGCCCATACCACTGTGCCCATTATGCCGATATATGTGTTCACATGGCAACAGAGTCAACCATGCCTGGAAAAAAAATTGAAGGATGACCTAGCCAAAAAAAATTATTTTACAGCTACTTGAATTTGCTGATCAAGTGACTACCCAGCCACAGAGCTGGCAGAAGATGGGCCAGAACAAGCATCTGAGAGTGGGGGCTATTTAGGCTGGAACTTTCAACATGGAAATACTTGTTGAGCTCTGTCATAAGGTGCTGGCCTGCAGGTGTCAGGCATGTTAACAAAGGGCTTGACCAAAGAAACCCCTTATTGCATTGGCAGAAATTCACCTGGCCTCTCCAGTTCATCTCAGTACTCACTGAGATGTCTAACGGATGCCCAGCTACCCTGCAGGAATTTTGGTTTCCCTTCAACTGCTGTGTTAAGGGAAGGAAGGTAGCAGAGACAGTCTCTGCAGGACAGACATAACAGCCTATCCATTACAAAGCCATAGCAAATGGCCCGTTATCCAAGGACTGAGCTGAAGCCAATTGGAAAAGCTTCCCAACAAATTTCCATACTTGGGATTGGACTCATACCGACCACAGCCTTCAAAAGCACCAAGAACAACAGTATCTGGATAGTGGGTCTATATTCACAGTTAAAAACCAGGGTCAGTGTGTCACAGGCTGAAGAGGATGCTCCAGGAGGCATATTTTTTTTTTTGCTTCAGAAGGATACTGCATGTTAAGTATTGTTATATTGTCCTACAACGTTAAAGCAGTGGCACTTAGTGTTAGCATTTACAAGTGGGTCCTTCAAACAAGTCCGCATCCTTGAGTAATCCCAGTATTTTGTGTTGGTCTGCAGCACTGAGACATTCAGCTCAGGGGACACAGAACACGTCACAACACAGGAAGAAGAACTTGCCAAAACTGAAAGTGTACCAAAGAAAGGCAGATTCTTTAAAGATTTTAAACACAGCATCTGCAAGTGACACCACAGAGCTGGAATAGTGCATTTCAAGATCACCAAAGCAGTTCACCGAACTGGATGTAGCCTGCCATCAGTATCTTTGCATTAGTTCATTTCTCTGTTAACATTTGGCACAAACCCTTTGACACAGTAATTTGGCTTCCACTTAGGTCAGCTGCTTGCGATGTTTTCCTGGCACTTCAGTGGATTCAGAAAAAGTTTCTTCGACACTGTGTACACTTAAAGTCCTCAGTCAAGAATGAAGGCTAAACATTGCTGACCCTGGTTTCGGAAGAAGAGATCATAGCAGCAGATGCAGACGTCACTAGTGACCGTTCTCGTCTGACATATCGTGGCTTCCGAACTGAAATGGTGGGCACAGAAACATCATTAGCACCTGCCGTACAAGCATGCCTTTATCATTAATTCATAACATCACATGCCATCCAACAATTCCTGAGTGACCAAAGTCATGCTGGACCTTAAAAAAAAAAAAAAAAAACACAAAAAACCCTACATAGAGCTGATATAGCCAAAGTCTACAAATAAACTTTTAAAACAACCTTCTAATGGCCTGCTAAACAAGGTGCTCATTACAAAGTGGCATTTCCATTATTTGTGTTTACAGTACATGTAGCTTTCCATTTTCAGCCCTAACAAACACCCCGGCAGCTGTACTTTTTTTTTTTTAAAACAGACATAAATTAAAGGTAAGGAAACCAAGACTTTTCACAAGCAGTGCTGGCTGTCAGTTTAACAGCCAGACCCAGACCAAGTTTGGAACACATCTAAAAATGTTTAAAAGTTAAAGACTTGCATTAATAAAAATTAAATTTTAATTATACCATCTTGATTAAAAAGGCCTATGCATACATGAGAAGTGAGACTAGAAATTTTGCTTTAGCTTACAAGGCCATTATTTCTTAAGTTTTTAGAAGATTTGGTCTGTCTCACTTTTTAGCTACCACAAGTTCTGTCAGTCTTGAAAGTACATGGATCAAGCATAGAGACAAGATATTTTACCATATTACCCTGGCCAAATAAATCCACTTTCCTAGCCACTCTAAATTAATTTCATGTATAGATATAAAATTTCCTATCATTTGCAAAATATATCCTTTACTGCCTACTTCTTTTCGAACTCTGTTACGTGGTCAGAGACACTTAAAAGAATGCCTTGATTTGATTAGGTGTAATCCATTGCCCTTTTAAATGTGTACTTGGAGAGAGTCATATTTAGATATTTCATGCTTTATTAGGCTCTCACCAGCTCATTAATAATAGAAGAGCAGCATGTACCATTTCCTAGAAGTAGCACAAATTTAGAGGCACACAAAAAAGCAAGTTTTTGCTCTTGGATTACCCAGATCTGGTCTAAACCAGCAGATTACAGTATGAACTTCTCAGTAATATTTATAGGTTGAAACTATGAAAAACTGGGGAGGAAAACTGAGACAAGCTCATTAGATGAAATCTTCCCCAACAAATACATTTCTGCCTGAGTTTCACACGTATTAAAAACCCACCTGGCCCAGAAGGGCCAACCTACAAACATCCCACACACCACATACACACAAAACGCGATATTCCAAGCGGTCTGTGTTATTTGTTTCAAGAAGCTGATAAGCTTCAAATCAGCAAGCCTGAAAATGAGCCAACCTGGCATTGTCAAGAAGATTCCAATCCTGAAAATAGGTCCCAGACTGAATAATTTATTTTTGAGCACTTATGAAAAAAATACTGCATCTACTTGTAAGACTTCTCTATTAGGATAGAGAAGTTGAAGATCTATTTTAGGAGCTGTCAAAGATTTATTTTAACATAAAGTACTCCATCAATACTGCATGCCTACATTAATTAAAGCAATAAATCCTATCAAAAAGGTCTACTAGACAGATTTCATTGGATTTCTGTCCCCTTAACAGATTCCACAGTTCTATACCAGGCTTTACAGGTAATTGTTTTGACTTGCCGTGTGTTCTTAGCATATCCACTTTGAGATAGTTTGCCTGCTTTTCAGTAACGAGATGCATAAAAGGGAAGCCAACAGGTAAAATATTTGTAGCAGCACACCCCAGAGAACAGTTCCTCACCTGAAGAAGCTGGGGGAGGTATCATGGATGCCTGCATAACAGAAGAATGATCACATCAAACAAAGCACCTTTTGTCTTCACAGTCTTTCATTAAAAAATACAGGAACATTTTAGGGTTCCACTAATATTTACTGTGTACATAGTCTTTCTTGGAGAAAGTGTCTCAATAGAATCCATTTGGTCAGTATTCATCTTTCACCTCTTTTTTGGAGTTTGGACAAAGAACCCCAAAACATCTTTTATTTTTATTTCAGTCTCTCACACATCAGATTAAGCAGCTCCCTAATGAACTGTTAAAACTTTAAAGTTATTGTTTACTTGATGTTTTATGCTTCCTTGTTCCTATTGGAAGGACAGAATTTACTTACTGTTTCACTAGGCTGGAGAACAGATGCTAAAAGAGAGAAAGAGAAAGACTAACCATCATTAATCTAGAAGGGTAGAACTGCTACTTTTCTAAAATACATGCGTGCAACAGAACAGTTCTATTGTTAAAAAATAGTTTTGTCACAAGGACTACCAAAACAGATCAGAACATTCAGAAATCCCATTAGTAGAATACATTGTCTATAGGACTCTTCAAGATTAGAGATACAGGGTTGCAAAGGTCTCCAAGAATGACTTAGTTTGCTTTCAAAGAAGGCAGCCACAGCAATCTCTCTTTAATATGAAGAAGCTTCAAGAGGAAAAATGGCACTTTGAGCCAACTACCAGAAAAAGGCAGTACAAATAGAAAACAACTGAGCAGTGAACGATGCAACATTTTTATACAAGAGGTTGCTGCCTTTATGGCCACATGATAATCATCATCCAGACAGAATGAAAACTAACATGATATTAAGGCAGAGAAATGTTTTAATGCTTCTCCTTCAAAGGAGGACACCAGTGCTTTAGCCTGCTGGACCAGAGTGAACTGTCAGTACAAAATGTGGAAGTCAGACCAGCATCACTGAAGCCTCAACAGAGGTTTGGTGTCCTTCCAGCTTCGGAATGTCACAGCACAACAGCTCTTGACCCACTTAAAAACTGAAGGAGAATCTTGTACTAACTAAATTTACTTGAGACACACGCAAAAACAACCTAGAGGTTTCAATATGGCAGTTGTGATTAGGATACTAGCAGTTCCTGTGGCACTGGTCAATTTAGACCTTAGGCAGCTACTGTTGCACACTTTTACACAAAATGATACCACAGAGACTGGATTTGTGATGTTCCATGAAGTTACTATGACTAGATACAACATTCTTAGCCAAACAATGGAATTGTATTGCTCCACCCACCCCCTTTTTCTCTTTATAAGCTTATTTCTATTCTGACAGTCTAGCTTGAGTTTGGTCCTGTAAGACATGAATGAAAATAACTGGATGTCTACTTGTTTAGCAGACCTAACCAGTAAACAGCTTGCTTTCAACAGAAGGAGCTCTAACACAGCAAATGCTGTGCTAGAGGTTGTCATGGGAATCAAAGTCACTGCATAGAAGAGGTGAGACATAGATCAGCCTCCGTTTCATGCAGAACACTGGGCAAAATGGAGACATTGCCTTCCACATATTTTGCTCACCACCTCCCAGAAATTAAAGACCAGTAAAATGTGGACACATAGAACAACTTCATAGAAACAGAAGCATCTGAAAGAGCCAGATGTCTACATAAAGTCTTGGTGCCCTATGGCTAAGTACATCCCAGGTGTTCTTT